AAGTTGAGCTGACTTAGCACCTTGCTACTTTGGTACTGAAATCTCTAAAGTTGAATACGATTGTCTCAAAGACTCAAAACAGAAAAAAAAGTTCCATTTTTAAGAAATTTTAAGTTAGGGCAAAGCAGTTGCCTGTTGAGGAAATATTCTCACACAGGAGGAGTGACGGAAGAAGTTTCATTGACAGCTCAGTCGCACCTGAGAAAGGCAGCTCGTGGCTCAGACACCGCATTTCTTTATTGTTTGCCTTCATGGCATCTGGTGTCCAACGTGCTGTGAAATGGAAGTAAATTTAAACCTGGTGATTTTGAGGACATCATGACTGCTTGATGCACTTTGGAATGCTCTCAAACCAGGACCAGAAGTCACTTGGATAATCACTAAGAACTCTGTTAGGTCCAAAACTGTCAATGTTTTGAGATCACAGAATAGTGACTAGTTTCTACTAGAAAATCTGTGTTACTTGATTTATTTTAAGATAAAATTCTGAGAACTCCCAGATTCCTGTTTGCCAAGCACCATTAATTGTTACAACTCCTTTCCGCAGGTAACAAGCATGGTCCTAACTCACCTCTCTGGCTTGATGCCCAGCCTCTCGCCCCGGTCCATGTTGAGCGTGCCGGCGCCCTGGCCGTAGCCGTAGCCTTTTGGCCCATACTTCTTTCCGTAGCAGGATTTGCAGTAGATCTCTTCATCATGAATAGCCACTGTTGTGCTATCTAAATTTTTCCTGCAAACCACTGAGGGGGAGAAAGTTAGAATTTAAAGGTGGGCCAAAGGCACTATTCCCTGGGAACAATGGTGGCAGAGACACATGGTCAACAAATGGCAAAGGCACAGGCTCGCTCACATTCCTAGTTTATTCTGTGGTTTCCCCAAAGCCACGAGGCAGCATCTGGTCTGAGCAGCTACATCGGAGGACTGTCTGCCTTCCTCCGTGGGTATGACCATTGTTTCAGGAATGCATCAGAATTTTAACATCCTGAAGCCTCAGACTCCTCAGTAAGATTCGCCTTTCTAGCAGGAGGGAGAGAAGTTTGAGATGGCTATAATGACAGGAACAAAAGGAACAAAACGCACGCTGCGCCCCCAAACCCGCAACACTCAAGTCTTTCCAGCCTCTTCTTACAAATGCTGTTAACTCGGAACCTAACAAACAGTGAACACGTGCTGAGTGGCTGGGGAGAGCTGCCTCTGTAGCCGCGCCTCCCTGAAAGCACCCCTGAGACAAAAACTGTTCCATCCAGAATCCCAGTTTTCATCACCGGTCTCAAAGACAAAGAGGACTACTTTTTCAGCGCGCCGCCGGCTTCCCCGGCAGTGAGAGGTTTGTCTGAAGATCAAGTGTTTCCAGTCCGCATTTGTTTTCCCCTTGGTCCCAGAGGAGAACACAATCTTTCTTGATGGGTTTCTCGCCACAAGACATTTCTGTGTACTCCAGTTCATAAAACTGCCGAGTGTCATGCTTACTCCAGACATTATTTCATTTTCTAAAACTTCGATGAAGGTCGAGGAAAAAAGAGACTGTGAGGGAACTCGGGTAGCACAGTTGAGCAGCTGCAGCTCCAACATCAGTGCAGGAGAAAAAGGGGTTTCCACCTCTTCTTTGAAAGAGGGGAAACGAAAAGAGGAAAGAAAGAGATGGGCCAGGAAAGGCAACTAATCGGATGGCTAAAAATAGAGGTAAAGTACGAAGTCTCTTATTATCTCAGAGCAAGATAACAGAACAAAATGGCATCACCTTCTGTGGAACCTTGCCGTACTGACTCAAGTACTGACATACATTTGCTTAAAGACGTAGTTCACCTCCATGCACTGCTGGAGAGCAAACACCCTTCACAGACTTTGAATATCAATTCCTATATGAGCTGTTCTGAAAAACATCTATAACCAAGGCAAGCTTACGCATATGAAAATTTTTCTTACATAACCACCTCTCCTCCCAGTCCTCACTCCTATTCCAAATAGTCTTGAGTTATTTCCTTAAAAGGCTTTAGTCAGCAGAGACAAATATTAGAAAGGAGTAGTAAAAGGGACCAGTAAAGACACCTAACATTTTGTAAACACCGACTTTATTGTGGTGTAAACATCATGGCTTAACCTAAATCAAACTAAGAACAATTTCTAAAGTTTGCATTTCCTCCATGTTCACATACTCTTAACTATAAACCTGCTGAAAAAAAAAACAGATTTCTCAAAAAAAAAAAAAAAAAAGAAAAAGTAACCTCTAAGAGAAGGAATAGTTAAATCTGAGAAATGGTAGCTATCATGGAGGCTACTAGCAAACATTCATAGGTTGTCTTTTCATTCTTTGTTACTGTGGCTTTGTGTTGTGTCTCTAGTTCTCTGCAAAGCAGTTACACTATAAAAAGGCCCAGTCACCTGGAATGCTGGTGCCTGGAAGGCAAACGGTAACTAAAACTTGAGACGTTTTCTCCAGAGATTGTTTCGTCACGTAACCAAGTTTATTTTCAACAGTGCTGTTCACTGTGCAGTGCTGCTCTGGGTAACGCAGATAACCGCACGTATCGGTGGGTCCCTCACATAACAGATCCTTCATAAAAGACAATTTTGTTATTTAAATCAGAAGATGATTAACGAAGACCTTCCAGAGGAGACTGCTCTCCTGTTTGAAAACTGAAGACTTGGAGGGAACACGCAGCAGAGAAGGGGCTTTATCTCTTATCCTGTCTCTCCATTACCGGGTACTTAACTCTGTTGAGTAAGGAGGCCTGTGTTGTTTTATGCCCCATTTCCGGCCGAAGTCAGACACTCTTGATCATTTCCCATCTAAAAACAATAGTAATGTCCAGCTTGCTTCTATGGGATTTTCATATCCTAAGTTCCTTTCCCTTAAATGTGGGATGTCAATAACCAGAAATAACTCTGAATATTCACTACCAGAGAGAACAGAATATGAGCTTCTAGAGAAATGGAGCTTCTCTTGACATTTGAATTTCTACTAATAGTGCAGTGAGAAACAAGCCAGTCAGTTTCAGAGCAAAGGAGCTCAGCCAGAAGGAGAAAGCTGGGCTGGGTGAGGAGCCACGCGTTCCTCGGAACTGGGAGCCAAGCCCCTGACCGTGTGCCAGGAGCTGTGTGTGGTACCAGACTATAAACGACACTGAACTTTCAGGGAATGAAGCAGGGGAGGCAGACGTGGTAACAAATGAGGTGAGTCAAGGCCAAATGGAGGATCAAGACTGTGAGGACCCAGGAAGGCCAAATATCTTGGGTCCCCCTGCTGTTCATGCTGCCAGGCCGAGCACTTACAAGGTCTAGGAGAACCAAAGAGGCAAGAACCACTTGTGCTTCCAAAATAATCTTTGTTCACAAAACCATAGGTTTTTTTCCTCAAGTAAGTAGACTGAAAAGCTTCTTACACATAAAGTGTCCCAGGTCGAGCCCTGGGAGATACTCACTGCACAGGAAGCAGCAGCGGTGGAAGCTCCTGCCGTCACACTGCACCTCCTCCGCATGGTACACGGTCCGCCCGCAGGCCCCGCATTTGTTTCCACCTCCCCAGACGGGCATTCTGGAGGAACGAAAGGCTCATCAGAGAGGCCCCATACCTTGGGAGGTGTCTTACAAGCTCCCTAGGGGGCTGCTTAAACCCGGGGATCATGGAAGATTTTGTTTGCCTATGAACCACTCTAACCACATCTTTAAAAAGCCTGCGTGCCTCCAAGATTACCCCATATCCTCTCCCAAATTACAGGTCTTTCATTAGAAAGCTCTGGCTTGTCATGCACAGTTTTTTTTCTTTTTGTCCTACAGGACAAAGGACCTGCATTCACTAGAATAGTTTGGGACGCCAGGCACAAAACACACTCTGCCGCTGGAATCCACAGGGGTTGGAGGTGGGGAGTGGAAAGGCAAGCGCCACCCCACGCATGCCCTGCCACAGTGAACGGTTTTAGCGCCACCCCACGCACGCCCTGCCACAAGGAACGGTTTTAGAAAACTTGGTCTTAAGAACTTACACTTGGGTGGGGTTTTTCATTACATGTTTAATTCATTATAACACTACCAAATTCTGAACGCTTTATACAAGTTATGACAGTTTAAGGCAGAAGAAAGTGGTGTATTGCCCTGCAAAAACACATTTTGTATTTGTCTGCTCAAGTCTTGGGAGATTACAGCATAAGGAGCCGTGCCTCTGACTGGCACAACTGCACACTCAGAACCCGGGGGTAACCACAACAAACGCCCGCCCAGATAGCTATAATTTAAGTTTCTGTGCTTCACTCATCTCAGGGTCCTCCAGTCCAGCCAACAGTTAATCCTCCCTCCAGCCTCTGTGAGGCTGTCAGTCCACACAGAACATGCTACCACGTCCCCTTTCCGGCAAAGTGAGCTGTCTGTTGGGTGTGTCAGAGTAAGCTCTGAGCAGTGGGGCCTGAAGGGGCGTTAGAGCTGGAAGTTTTAAAATCCTCAGCTTTCTCTCTCGCTATGATGTAGGGCCAACATGTCCTAATTTCCTTCTCAATGAACATGTCTCCCTGGCCCCCATTTAAATGCTTAGCTCTGAATGGCCAACAGACTCCTGTGCCCACACCGGTACAGAAGGCTGTTCTGCAAGGACGGGGTGTCATGTCTGCCCTGCCCTGGGTGGACCCTCAGAACACAGCAGCGGAATTCCTTTTTATCCTACTGTCGTCCTCAGACTTCCCTTCGGTGGGTGGTATTTGCAGGTGCTGCCTATTGAGTCTCAGGTGAGCTGCTGGCTTCTCTAGGCACTAGCTGGTTAAGAAAGCTGAAATCTCCTTCCTAACTCAAACTCGGCTAGAAAAAGAAGGGAGAGGAGGGCTGCTAAGCAAACTGCTGAAGAATCTTCAGTCCTTAAAGTAAACAGAAGGGCAGTAAATTGCCATTCCTGCAACATTAGGACAATACGGAACCCATGACTCTGAGCTCTGCCCGGAGGCCTTCCCAAAAGAAAGATTTAGAGTAAATCATTGTGTTGGGCATCTTTCTGGCACCCAGCATGGATTCTCTTGTGCCTCTTCTGATAATACTTTCCCCGGATTCTCTTCAGGGGAGCAAACATCTCTTCCTTGGTCCCTCTGGTTCAGAAAAGTACCAGTTCAAGACAAAATTCAGGTAAGCATTTCTAGACTTTTATGCAATGCATGCTATAACAAGAGCGTGGTCAGTGAACTCATCTTGGTGAACAGCGTCGAGTCCCAGAATTAATCTGTACTTTGAAATAAAGCAAAAGGCCCTTTCCCTCCTTCATCACAGGTAGTTTGAGGAGCATCACAGGTAGTCAGGAACAGTACTGACTCCACCATCAGCTCCAGGGTCAGCGTGCGACTCAGTCATGGCAGCTGCCAGATCGCAGGTGACAGGTTTAGGAACCAGTGCAGGACCCACGCCAGTTCGGTGAACGTTAAATCCAGGGCTTTGGTTTAGAGCTGGGTGGATGCAGGGGTGGGGTCGCTAGCAGCTGTCTAGCCACTGTAAGAAAAGAGGCTCAGAATGAAGCCAGCACAGAGGAAAACAGAGATGGAGAGACCAGATGTAGACACTTCATAGCCACACCTCTCGTTTTCTCTTGTACTCTCAGGTGAGCCAGTCAATTCTCTTTTTAAGTCATTTGGAGATGGAGCTCCTGTTCCTTGAAAAAAACGACAATAACACACATACTCACACAAAGAGACCTGACTGATATGACTAATTATCACCAAACTATCAGTTTCAGCTCCCCAAAAGCCTACTCCCCTTATTCAGGCAGGAACAAAGCAATTCCAAGGGTCCACAAGTGTTACCAGGCTACTGTGAAAGCACCCACACAGGATCAATATCTTGCAACAACAGAACATATTTGTGAACTTTCCTTTAGTAGTTGTGTAAATCTCTCATTTCCCTCCCCTGGAGACAGGTGCTCCATTGTTTAAACACAATGAAACCTGAGCCTGGCTGTACAACCTGACGCAAAGCCTGGCTCCTGCAGCCTGCACTGGCCTGAGTTTGGAGTGTACTTAGCGGTATTGACTTTGCCCCATGGTCCCAAAGCTGCCTGTGTTCTGGAACGCTCCAGCAGGCAACAGACATGTGGGAGCAGCACCCTCGCGATTCCAGAGTGAACCCAAAACCAGATCCAGGCTTGCACGTAATGACATTATAATACTTAAAATCGGACCCCAAGAGTTAATAGCCCAGCCGGCTTTTAAACTATTTGGTCACTGTCTAGTCACTTGTCATTGTATTAGCAAGTGTACTGTTCACTATCACCCTGTCGGCTTCCATTTTCCCACATTTTCTTTGGAGCAATCACCAAGAAGAAGTCAGATTTCCATCAAAGTTAACACTGTCCTGAGGGTTGTCGCTGAATGACATTTAAAAATACATTTTTAAAAACCCAACATCACTTTGCTATTCTCTCTCGAGCCCCTTGGACTTTTTTATGTAATTCAGGGTTACTTAAATTCACTCTTGCATGTGAAGTCTAATTCCTACTGCACATCCACAGGAGCCCAGTGCGAATGTGTCCTCTTTTCAGGAAACACCCATCAACCTTCCCCAGCATTCAGTTCATTATGTGACAGGTTCTTCCTCGGGGGCTGGAGACCGCATCTCTGTATTCCCCACCCCACCTACCAGAGGACTTGGCGTATATCGAAATGTTTCATGTCCATCGTTTTAAAGAATCCTTCCTCTTTCAACCCATTGGTACGATTCCCAATTAGATCTTATGTCTCTCAAGACAAAGGCAGCATTGCTCTACTTCTCTTTGTCACTTTGTTGGAGTCTAAGTAAAACGTTCAAGTCATTAGCTTTTTTAAAGTCCCATCCAGTTTAACAGCTTTCCTAAAGATTTCTGAATAACCCTCTCTGTGGTCCTGGCAAACGGTGCAACAGAAGGAGCGTCCTCGGAAAGCTTCAGCTCAACTTGTTTTACTCTCTAAGCTGGACAGTGGGTAGTTGAGTGTTCCTTATATTCTCTATTTTGTATGTCTGAAATATTTCCCAATGGAAAAAAGGAGAGAGGGCAGGGGGAGGTTGGTTTAGACAGACCTGGGTTAACTTCACTATTGTGATGGTTGTACGACCTTGGGCTGATCTGTTTCTCGTCCATGAAATAGGGAACTGAAGCTCTCTCTCTTTCTCTCTCCCTCTCTCAGATACAGTGAAGACAAAACGAGGTAAACACATGCCTTGGTAGATATAAAGGGACTGTTAGCGCGAAGGAGGAGGGGCATCTCATACTGTTCACCCTGCTCTCAGTACCCCAGCAGGAAAACCATGGACCAGCACCTATTCAACAGAGCTCAGAGCCGCAAATGGGGTAAAGAAATAGCTTAGCTGTTTAGTCACTCCTAAACCTTCTTTTCCTGGGACAATGAAAGGAATTGCAAGTATAACGATAGTACCACTTGCGGTGAGTGTCCAGGCAATGACGTTTCCATTTACACTTGGGGGGCGAACTCCTGTGGACATGCCCTGCACTTGGCAGGGGGAGGTGTGATCATCTTCCCTTCTGTCACCCATTGGCATTGCTGTGCAAGTAACGAACCGCGAGGCTTCATTTTTCACACCCACATTCGGCCACACAACTTCACAACAGCTGACATTAATCACAGCAAACTGGATTTGCACCGAGCAATCTGGGCTGTGTGCTTCTCCCTAATCCTATGTATTAATTTACAGAATGGTAAGAGGACAAATAAAATCCCACTTTACACACTTTTTGTACAAGTTGGCCAAACAGGCTGTTTCTGTTGCTGGGTCTCATTTTTTGGTTTCCAGTGTCTGAAAATTTCAGCACTAGGATTCATCCACTGTCTTGGGTTGAAAAGCTTGTTGACACCGGAATACCATGTGCAATTTCTGTTTGCTCCTTCTCTGCAGTCTAAGACACCACCCAAAATTCCTAAGACCTACCTCCAGAAGAAAATTATTATTGTCTAACTCTGAGTCACCTTGTGGTAAAATTACCTCATTCTCTAGATAACCAACAAGAGCCACAAAATGAGCCCGTGAATTACTCATACCACCTGTGGCATTTACCGTCTTATTTTAGAATCTGAATGACTTGAAATCACGAATTTCGAGTCTACATGTCACCACTTGTAGTTTGCTATTGGTTCTAATACAGAAGGTTTGGAGCGAGTCTGTCAATACCCCCACATTGTAAAGTGCTTCCGGAAGCTCTGACATGATATTATCATATGCATGGCTTCGTTATTACACTAGGATGTGGTTATAATCCAATTTCCCAACAAAAGAGAATTTGTGACATATCACTTTCATCTTCAGCCACATCCAGAGGGGTTATTTGCTAAAGAATATAAGTTAGCAGCATTGTCACCAGTTACAATAATTTTTAACAAGGCCAGAGTTTAAGAGCTGTTGATAATTGGAAACAAAGCTTCACTCAATGATCGTTCTAAAAATTGTGTCTTCTGCTACCCCAATTACCTTAATCTCCTTCCTTTATGTAAGCAAACACCACAACCTGAGGACAGACCCCTGCGTCTCAGTGATTGGCTCCATGTGTCATTTGACCCCTTGTACCAGAGCCAAACCCCCACGCTGGCCCTGAAGATTCTCAGCCTAGGGGTGAATTAAGAGCATGGATTTGGGAGACAACAGAGTCTCATTTCCTCTTATGTAAAATGAGGATAACAGTACCTTTCTTACAGAGTTATTAAGAGAATGAGCTGAGAAAACGCTTATAGTAGGCACTCAATTATTGGTAGTCATCAATATTTAGCAAAGTTCAGTCCTTGCTGTCAATACCCATGTTCTTCTACCCATCTCATGTACCCATTCATCCTTATGCCCCTAACCCCTCCCAGTCAGGGCAACTGACCTCCTCCCTCCCTCACCCAGCTCCCTCCTGACTTCTTTTCTGTATCTCAGGTGATTAACTGATGTAGGGTGGGGACAGCTAGTACACACTGCACAATGCTCCACTGTTTGTGATGCTCTCATATAAACGCATTAATTCAACCTTTTATAAGCCATATCCTGGGTCAGGAGTTGAGGATAAAAGGGTTATCATGAAGTGTGCCTGTGTCTCAGGGAGTTCGACTGTGGGGGTAGAAATATGCACACAAATAACAGCAATGCAACATCAGCAGTGACACAGAGGCGTGTAGAAAGGGCTCCGTGAAGTCTGCACCATCTGCTTCTACAGGGACAACAACACGGTTTTGTCCTGTAGATGCACTGGAAGGGGGTTCCTGGAACTGTGTTGGAAAGATTGTGAAGTTCAGTCAAGGTTCCACATTAAAGATTCTTGTGATTAATAATGTCTGACAAGAAACTGCAGTGCACACGCCACTTCCTAGACACTCCTGGTAAAGAGAAAGAGAGTGGAACTCGGAGTGTGAAAGTCAGTTAGCAGCTGGGTGATCCTGGCCAAACTCCTTAACCTCTGAGCCACGACTTCCTCAGCTAGAGCCTGAAAACTAATGAGAACACCCTCAGAGGGTAGCTGGGAGGATTTAATAAGACACCATTCATGAAGCACCTGGCAAAGAGCCTGTACCCCAAAAATGCTGGTTTCCTTTTTCCTTCACAAGCACTATTGGGCCTGAATGTGGCAACGAAAAGTTCAGTGGTGAAGTGACTTGCTGAAGTCACCGACCACCAAAGAAGCTCGATTGACCCTCCAGGCTCAATCCACGCTTGCTTGATTCCAGGGCCTTAAACTGCCCCCAAAACTCCCATTTCGGATTTAAGGGTTGAGACCATTCAAGTCACCTGAAAATGATCAGTCCTGTGGTACCAATTACCTGCACTCAGGAACACCTTCTCCTCCACCCAGTCTTCCTCCTCAGCGTTCATTACTAATTCTAGAGCGTGTTATGACGTACATCTTCAACTGAGAGCACAGCCATATCCTTGACAGAGATTCGGATACTACCCACCAAATCACACAGTAATTAGAATGCAACTGTGCTATAAACTCAGTTACCCTGACCCCCAACATCCACCACAGCAATTCACAACTGGTGCCAACTGTAAGATATCTAATTTTTCAAATTTAATGTTTGTATGATTTACACATGAAGTCAGACCAAGATTTATTTTTCAAGACTACTGTTTATCTGCCAGATGATCTTAGGTTGGTTATTCGATCTGCTAGTTTTCTCATTCCAAAAATGGAGATAATGGCAGAGAAGGGTGTGCAGGGAGGAGGAGAGTAAAGGGGGGGGGGGAATGGGACAACTGTATAGCATAATCAATAAAATATATTCAAAAATAAGAAAGAAATGAATAAAGACTTTAAAGAAATAAAAAATGAAGCTAATGCTTATTTATATCACAAGGCAATTCTGACGTTAAATAATATATGTAAAACACTTAGAATATTGCCTGCGCATGATAAGTAAAATAATTACATTATTATTTACTTATTATACATTATTATTTACTTCTATAAATCTTACTTGTGCTAAGTAGTTTACTGAGAATAACTTAATCCTCATAACTGAGGTAGGCATTATCACTATCCCCATTTTATAGGTGGAGAAGCTGAGGTATAGAGATATCAAGTGGCCTGTAACTGTCAAGCCAAAACAAAATTACCAATTCAGCCTAAAAATTAATATCAATAACATTCAGATAAACTCTTTGAGTTTATTTGATCGCCGTTTCTCTAAAACCAAACCACTAGTAGCTACACAAATATAGTACTGATTTATATGGCTCTGGAACAGGCTGTTTTGAAATTGCGTGTTTCTAGTGCTGCTGTGTGCTGGATAAAGATTCAGTTCTCTATTCACTTTTTTCTTTCAGGCAAGAAGCCATCACGAAACCTTCTTTCTTACAATGAACTGGCCCTAATGTATTACATGTTTCTGTGTCTCTTCTATATGAGTCGAGGACAATTGGTGGCACTGTTGGCAAATGAAATGGTAAGCAAAAATGCAAAGGACCTGATGTCCTTTGCAAATGATTTGTGGTATACTTGAACCATCGGTTCTTCTCTATGAGTTACACTAAAAGTTAAAGTTATTAACAATCTGAACTTGTGCCCAGCTCCTCCACAGTCCAGTTTGAGAAAACTCCCCTAAACCAGGGTTCTGAACCTGGGGGTCCACACAATCCTTGAAATTCTGGGGATCAGTGACCCTGGTACCATGTATTTTATTTTATGCACTTAACATTTTGAGAAGGGGTCCAGAGGCTTCACCAGGATGCTGGAAAGGTCCACGACACAGAAACAGTTAAGTAGCACCATCCTGGTGATCAAGGTCCCAAGGGAGTCCAGGGATGTTCCCCACCCAACAGGACAAAAGGGAGTCCATGCAAATACCAGACCAGGAAATGATGGAAACCTGTTGATTGTCTGTTTAGGGAAGAGAGCTGGCCTCTGGGCCAGCCCTAGAGAGAGTGTTTACAGCTGAAAGAGACCTTCACTGAGAGCCTTTTCCCCACAGATTCGACAAAATGTAGAACAGTGTCTAATTATAGAGAACCTCTCCAGGTTGGGCTGGGCTTTACAACCCTGCAAGGTATGTAGTACTATACATACTTTACAAGATAAAGTAACTAAGGTCAGATAACTTGCCCAAGGTCATCAAACCAATGGGTGCTGGAGGGCACAAATGGCTTCAGCCCTGCCCGTTGGACAATTTAATCAGGACGTAGAGCTCCATGGAGTACTGCTTCCAGCACAGAATTTATCGGATAATACTATCAACCAATATTTGTTGAATATATTTAGAGGAATCCACTAAAAAACTTATGCTAGAAACCTTAGATCAAATCTGCTTGTGCACGTATTGCTTGAGTGCAACTAAATCTTTGTTCACCACTCCTGCAACCTTACTTCTTCCTTCATTTGTTCAATTAACCAACAATGTCTCTGCTCAGATTCTGTTTAAGGCACCCAAGCAAGTGCAGTGAGTTTCAAGGATTCATCTAGCTTCAAGAGATGCAGATCCTGTCTCCATCTAACTTCACCCTGAAAGAGCAAAACAAACTAGAACCCAGAGTGGAAGGAACCTGGAGCAGTATTGATAAAAGTATTGATCAGTGGGAATCAACCAAGAAGATACTGGAGGGAGACCATAGAGAATTTCATAAAATCGATTAGAGTTTGCTAAGCAAGCAGCTTTGAAATTTTGTAAAATTCACCCTTTCAGAATATTGTTTATCTCTTTCCTGAAAAATGTGAGGCAAATTATAGCCAACTTTGTGATTGCTGTATTGGAGTTCGTGGCGTTTCATATAGGTAGAGCTTTAAAACAGGTGAATTACAAAAGTTAAGAGCTAAAGAGCCCATTCTTACTGTCCGAATATAAGGTTACCCCAAATAAAAAGCATTTATAAAACGAAAATGTACTTTGTCTGCAGACTGCAAATAAAACAGGTTAAACATTTTGGCTAACCATTTAAACAGCTACTGTTCAACAAACGTCCTGGCTTGGATCGGGTGGAGGTGGGTGTCTCCGGACTCCACCGGGGCTGCCTACGTGGAGCTTTGAAACCCACGATGTGATTTTCAAGGACCTGTTGCAGAATTTCGCAGCCAAGCATTTTTTTACTTTCTTATTTGTACCTAAATAGCAGAAAGCTCCGAGAAAAGCTGGCAGCTTTCTATCTGACCTTTCACTGCTGTTCCTTTTCATGTTTGAGGCTTAGGGGGCAAAGACCACCGAACAATGGGATGCTGGAGCTCTTTACCGCAGCAGGGGAAGGATTCTGGGCTATACGGGTTGAAGAAGCCCCCACCTCATCCTCAGGGGTTCAAAGCAGCCCCTGGGAAGTTCTCTCTCAGGGCGCACCACACTCCAGGCAGCGGAGACCCTAAGATTCGGACCCCACCCTCCCCTCCGCGCAGACAGAACCCGCCCCGGGAGGAGGGGACCCAGGGCTACTTAAAAAGGCTGATTAGCAGCCACGCGAAACTCGACCCCGCCTCTCTCTCTCTCTTTCTCGCTCTCTCAGAAAACCGGTAGGGACACATTGATATGGAGGTCATGCACGATAAGCCTCGCGGGCCCAGGATCCGAGGGCAAAGCCCAGGCGGCTGGAGGGGCGCTGGTGTGAGAAGGGGGATGGGGAGGATTGGAGAGCAGGGGCGAGATGAATGGTTGGGGGTGTCAATGAGGACAGCGATCGGGATATCAGAGTAGATGCGGGGGGCGCGGGCAGGGCTGCCTGAGGACCCTCGGCGGCTGGGGGAACCCTCCTCCCCCAGGGTCGCCGGAGACGCCCCCACCGGCGCTACTCACTTGGGCCAGAGGCAGGACCACGCACCGCGGGCAGAGCTAGCCAGCGAAGCCGAGACAGAGGAAGGGAGCGAAGAGTCCAGGAGCCACGGCCCGCCGGTGCCGGCACCTTTAAAAGATGCTCTGGTGGGCGGGGTCTGTGTAGGCCCCGCCCCCGCCCCGCCCCGCCCCGCCCTGGTAAGCCCCGCGGATTCCCGCACTGGCTGCGCGAGGCTGGGGGTGTCTGACGGGAGCTTGGGCGTCTGGACCGAGAAACAAAAGGCAGGAATCCCGCCTCTTCCTGCTGCTTCCCGCCCACTCGGCAACTTCCCACCTACCCGGACCGCCACCCCACCGGGACCCCAGGGTCTCTAGAAGTAGTTAGGAGTTGGGAGAGGAGACTTCCTTATAGTGCTTAGCCGCCTGCCGGTCCTGTCGGCAAGTAGCCCCCCCGCTGTCCTGCGTGGTACCCGCGGGCGCCCAGTCTCCGTAAGTGTGGGGGGGGGGGTATCCAAGGTCAAGGAGGTTCCAGCGACAAAATATCGGTCAAATCGGGAATTTCCACCAGCCGCCTCCTTGCCTTATCCTTATAAGTAAACACAACGTGACTAACTTCCCCAGTGGACAAATATTCTCTGGTTCGATTCCCAGCTTCTGGGAACCCGCAACCTTCCTGTTCTTAAAGAGCAGAATTTCTCCTCTAGACTAAATAAATGACGTTACAAAAACGCCTCATTCCACAAGTGTTTTGCTTTTCCCAGCTACACAGCTACACAGGCTGTTGTGGGGGAGTAACCCAAACTCAGCCATATAGGGGCGTGCTCCAAAGGGCCTAGGTTTAGGTTTGTTGGTGTCAGAAAAGTCCAGGGATGCCACCGACAATCGAAGGGAATCTAATAACTGAACTGCAGGATGATCTGTTGTTTTAAATAGAAAGAATAGTAAAAATGCTGGTCTCTATATCTGGTTCACATTCTAGGCCTACTGATGACCTCTGTGCCAGATCCCGGAGAAGAGATATTTGGGAGAGTAGGGGGCTCAAAAAAGTGAGTAAAACTATCCCTCAGGCCGTAAATGTGGTAGCCTCTTCTGGTCCAGACCTTGTCAGCCTCCGCACGATTGCGATTTTGGGCTGGGTAATTCTTTGTTGTGGGGGCCTGTTCCATGCTTTGTAGGATGCCTGCACCCACTAGCTGCCAGTAGTGCCCCTCCTTCCCCGTCGTAGCAATCAAAAGCTCTTTGACATGCCAAATGCCCAGTTGGGAAGGGGGCAGAAGGCATTGGTTGAGAACCACTGCCCTGGTCTATATCTGCATGACAAAGTGCAGACTAGGTTTATCATAATATTGTTTTATTTCATATATTGGAGCCAGTCCAGGCTAAATTCACTAAATAGTGTTCTTATTCTCTGTCTACCAAGCACTGTGCAAAAACGCAGTGGTGACTGACATCTCCTGATATGGTGGCAGCAGTCTGGAAGAACTCCTGCCTGCCCATGGGCTTTTCTAAATGTGGGCAATCTGTATTTTCATGATATCAGCTTTATGTAAAAGGGACTTGACTTTTGAGATATATGAAAAGTTTGTCCTTCAGAATCTACTTTAGCTTTGCTGTTTACATTGCTTATTTTTTCTTGCATAGGTTTATGTAGTATTTCTACTGTATGAAACTGTATCTGTAAACTTCACTGCCAACCTGGTTCTCAGCAAACCGTTATCCTTTCTCTCCTACCCTTGGGTTCTCCAAGACCTGACCTGTATAGCTTTCTAACAGGCTCTTCCTGTCCCTAAACTCCATAGCCACATCCTGTCACTTGAAGTTGGGCTTGCTTCTAACCTGAAAGTATTTCTGTCCATACATGTGTGTGCATTAGTATATTTTACAGTAAGTCTGGAGATAATGGACATTTGATTTTTAATAACTCTGTATTTGTATTTAAGTATCAATATTTTAAAAAGTATTTTATTTCCCTTTTTTAAACATCCCTTTAAACTGCTGAGACTCATAAGTGTTAAAGTTCTCTCCATTTATTTAGAGTGGTGCAAAAGAAAAAGTGTGGGTTTTGTAATCAAACAGACATGATTTCAACATTCAGCTCTGCAACCTATTAGTTCTGTGAGCTTGTCCTAGTACTTGACTTCTTTGCACAAGTTTCTTTATCTATAAAATGATGATACTACACACTCTAAGCTGACTGCAAAATGGGAAACATTTACCTGGCAGAGGGTAAATACTCAATAGATGACAGTTGTTATGTCAAGCAAGGATATATCGATGTTCTCTTCTGCCTTGAGAAAGAAATAGAAACAGTGTTTTGCTGAGTATTAATCTTTTGTTGCCACTTAAGGATTTAGTTGTAAGAAGGTATTAGGTGTTTTCCAAAAACAATTGGCCTTCCAGAAGAAAGTAAATTGTGTGCCTGGGGGAAAGCTAGTAGAAGAAATTTGCCCTCATAAGCAAGAATAAGCCCTTAGTAATTCCACATGGTTCTAGTCTATTTGACTCTTTCAACATTTTAAAAGGCAAAATTGAAGGTTAAATGTGTCCAGCAGGATGTTTCTTTTTCCCAAGAAATGCACAAGAAATCTTATACTCTGTAATAGCTCCTTCATTCTCTGGAACCCATTAACCAATTTCAAATCAAAGTCCTTTGTCAAGGTCATTGACCTAAGGTAAGGTGAAGCAAGGTTTCCTTTCTCCATGACCTTGCGCTCCAAGTTCAAATGTTTTAAATATTTTTATTTAATACTACTTTTTCATAACAAAACCCTGAACTACATGAGTATGAATATAAACAAATGGTCACTTTATTTTATTTTAGGGCGAAGATTCCTTCTTAGAAGCCAGCTAGTTTTTGGAGGAGAGGAATTTTGTAGTATATGTTAAATAAAGAAAAAATAAATTCTCACTTTGCTAATCTATACAGTTTATAATACAAACAAGCAACTATTTATTCCACCTTATTTTTTAGCCAAGATTTAGCAGCAGTGGTGGGAATTAAAAATTACTCATACTCAATCCTAATACTCTATGATGCATTTTCTTGCAGAGAAAAGAATAAGTTATATATGCTTAAAATTTGAAAGGTAGATTAGACTATTTTATTCTTGATATTTGTCATAGTTGCTTTAAAAAACTTGCTTTAAACTCCCACTTCCTTATAAATTGCATTATGCATAACCTTTTTCTCTGATGATTACTGTTTGGCTTCAGCGCAGTCTTCTGTTACAGCCTTATTTATGTTTTCTTTTCTACTACAGCTTTCTAACTTTTCTACTTCTGTGTATGCTTTCTTCTTACAGCAGAGTTTTTCTAGCTCTACTGGTATGAAAAGCTTTTAACCTCCAAGACAGTCTGTTCCTTCTATCTTACGTCAACCCCTTAAATGACTTATCCCACTTTTTCCCCTTCTTCATTCGCATCCCCAACCACCAGCCAACATCTCCTCGGCCTTCCATGTTGCCTCTCAGTATCCATATTCTCTGCTCTGATTACACTTGCGGTGGCTGATCTCAGAGGAATGCATAGTTTTCCATCTCCTTACCAAGAACATCCTGTGCTTTTCATCAGTCCTTTGGCATTCTTAGTTGTATTCCCTTGCTCTTTAATTTCTCTGTTTCCTTCCTTTCAGATTATAAAAATGTGGTCTACCCCATATTAAAAAAAAGAAAGCTGACAAAACTTCCCTAACATTTGTAGTAGGTATTCATGGTTCCCTCTATAGTATCCATTCCCAGGTTTTTGTTTGGGGTCCACATTCAGTCAGGGAGGTACCTCCACAACCTTGGTTCGGGGGTGGAGCCCTGGAACCAACCACGGCCTGGATGGGGTGAGGTGGGGTGTCATGTGACCTGAGCCCATCCAACGGTGTGCATCTGAACTCTGCTGGGGTGCAGAGACAGACTGTGGTCACCTGCTTTGGAAGGTGCTATGTGCACACATGAGGCCCGGGGTTGTTACAATCACTTGCTGTAGGCAGCCAGCCTGAGGATGATTCAACATGGGAAGGACAGAGAAATGGAGCCAGAGCTCTGAACAAACTTCTCGTGAAGTTTGTCTACCTGCTGAATCTTTTCGTTTGGAAGCAGATGAATTCCCATGGTTGTTTTGAGATGGATTTTGTTACTTGCACTTAGGACTCCCAACTGACTATGGTGGCTTAACACTGTGTCCACAGATTCTTTGATACTCCTCTCTTCATCGGTGGACTTTCATTTTCCTCCCCTTGAGCATGTGCCAGATTTTGTGACGTGCTTCTAGAAAATAAAGGCTATGATTCTAAGACTAACTCAAAAGAAGGATTGTGATTGCTTCTTCTTTCTTCCCATCCACTTCTCCGTGTGTGTGTGTGTGTCCCTCTCTTTTCTTGGATCAGTGGCTCTGGGGAAGCCAGCCACCATGTCAGAAGGACACTCAAGTAGCCCATGGAGGGCCCACGTGGTAAGAAACAGGCCTGCAGCCCCAGAACAGTTGAAGCCTTCTGCCCATGAAAATAAGAGTGAGCTTAGCAGGAGATTCTACAGTCTGGTTAAGCCTTCTGATGACTACAGTTCTGGATGGCACTTCGACTGCAACCTCACGAGAGACCCTGAGCCTCTGCTGTGGTCATCAGAGAGCTCCAGATTGCCAAACCAGTTACCGTTTTTTGGTCCTTACCCTACCTGATCTCGTGGTTATGGGGCAATGTTAAATAAATACACAACTGTGGTACATGCACAGAATGAAATTTTCTAAGAAAGGTCATGCTTCTGAAGTTTCACGCAAATGTTAATGCTGTCTTAAGATACTGTTCTGATGAGAGATAGGAATAAATTCTCAAAGCTACAACCACTAGAAAACTTCCTTATTCCCCCTAAAAACTAATATGAAAAAACAGAGCAGCACCGGCTGGTGTGGCTCATTTGGTTGCATCATCATCCTTACAAAGGTTGAGGGTTCGGTCACCGGTCGGGGCACAAACCTAGGTTGCAAGATCAGTCCCCACTTGGGGTACACATGGGAGGCAGCCGGTAAATGTTTCTCACACTGATGTTTCTCTCACTTCCTTTCTCCCTCCCTTCCTCTTGTCTAAAATCAATAAACATATTTTTAAAAATTTAAAAAAACAGAGCATACTGAAGGATCTATTATGAAATTTTTATTATCTCACTTGCGATAAGAAACACCAGGCACTGCCAAGAAAATAAAATGTATATGTTCTAACTTCTACATAGAATTGTTTCTTGTTACCGATTAAGGAAAATTAAATGTATATTTATGAACCAAATTTCAAGAAAAAATTTACAATTAGCAATAAGGCTTATGAAACCATTTTGTTCATTTCTCCTGTTTAGGAAAAGACTAGGTAGAAAATTAGTTGAAATCCTAGGTAGGATTTCAAAATTAGCATTTGGGTTGAACAAAGCTCCAGAGAAAAATGTCATAAAAATTTCCACTTAAAACATTGTATATAGTGCTTCTCTGGGAAACGACGTAAGGAAGGTAACAGGCCTTTGGGAACAAGGCACAGTGCAGTGCTGTGATTGACAGGCACTTAGTTATTCATGGCATAGGCCTGGCAGGGTTTTTGCGTAATCCTCACATACGGAATTAAATTCATTTGTAAAATGAACCTTTTCTTGTAAAAGAAAATAAAAACTGTCATTTCCTGCAGCTCTCACCTCATAAGAAAAGTGTTGAGCTATAGAAAAAAGGTTAGTCCTTTAGAAAAAATAATAGCTCCTATAAATTCTATATTTATATGTTTATAAGGACAGCTGACTTAGATTTTACTTTAAACATTATTGACTTACACTGTTCCAAAAAGACTGTGGGAATACCTAATTCCCATTCCTAATTCTTAAATAATGTCATGTGCGAAAAGACTCATGCGTTTTGATTTATTTGTTCCTACATTTGGTTCAGGAGACTTGGAGTGCTACAGCAACCCATACTCCATTTACCTGTTAATGGCTGGCCATAAGCTTAAATGTGTGTGTTTGCACAGACTTGCAAAACCATCTGCGTCTTCTGTGAAAGGGCACTGGGCTACCCTGCTGTTCTTACTCTCCTGTGCAAATTCAGCTATGTAGTTATAAATGGAGACAAGCCAAAGTACACACCATTGGCTGTTCTTCCAGCCAACGGCCTGTATTGCAACCTAATAGCAATAACTATGGAGTGTTCTTTGCATGTCAGACATTATAGGAATACTTTCTTCCTGGTTGGAACATGAGCCTAGGGAGGTCGTTTCTTTATCCAATTTACAGATGAGTAAAGCGAGACTCATAGAAGTTGAGTAGCTTGCCCTACAGCCACAAAGCTAAGTCAGTGGTAGAACTGGGATTCAAATCCAGCCTGGAACCAGGCCTCACACTCTTTTTCATTACTGAATGGGGTCTTTCATGTATGGCTCTTTTCAGTTGTACTAGAAGAGCCAAAAAAGGGTACTTTTGCTTGATGGCCCTAAAGCCTGCTAGCTACCTGGGTAAGTTTGGTTCCGGCAAACCAAACATAAACCTTTGCAGTCTGGGATTTCCACACCCTAACTGACTGGAGTGAAGGCTTCCACGAGAAGTGGCACCGTGAATAAGCCCCACTCACACTCAACCAGGGGAGCAGGCCTGGGCTGGGGCCTTTGCTGGGGCGGTGGGGGTAGAGAAATGGAGGAAGATCAGAAGAAGAAGCAAACACGTTAAAAAAGCATCACTTTGACCATCCTCTTTGGGCGAAAGCCTGCCAGGTGATGGATGAACACGTTATGCAACACAAAAACACCAAAGTTTCATTCGGGGCACGGACATTTTGTCCCGTCTCTCACTGGGGCACAGAGATGGAATCAATTCCTGACACAGAGTGTGGATGAGGAGATGCCCATGTGGTCTTGTGCCCCCACCATCCAGCTGAAGAAACGGGTGAGTTTTTTAACTTGTTTGAGCTCAACTTTCTGAAGTCTAGCTGATCAGTAAGGTCCTGTGTAGCTGTAAAGTTCCGTGTTATTATAGTCACGTATTTTTTTGACACGGGAAGGTATTCACAGGTACTTACTCTGACACGAGCAGGGAAGCACGTGATGCTCTGGAGCCAGGGTCAGTGCCTGACCCAGTGTGGCAGTTGGACAGGGGACCCCTGTGCTGGTCTGTGCCTGCCTCTCAACGTGTGGATGCTGGAACCCGAGAGAGGACTTTCTACTTCGGTTCCCCAGCAGGTCTGCCATCCCTGACCGTGGCTGTCACCTCATGTTACTCATTCGGCTTCCAAGTCTGCCTCAGGGTATGTACAGTGTCTTCCATTGGGGCTTGGAAATGCAGTCACATGTAGAACCCAGGCTGCAAGGAAGCCTTGGGAATGTTGAGCCTTCTAGCTGCAAAGGACAGGAAGCCTTTCAGAGCAGTGAGTGGGTATAAAGTGAGCCCATTGGCAGTGTCTGCCACTCTGTGTTACATTGCTGAGTGCAAAAAGTGCATGTGTGTATGGGGGGGGTATTCACACCATGGGTTCTTTTATATGTGTATATGAAGTGCTGTTCCAAAAAGTCTGAAGGGGTATACACTGAAATGTTAGTAGTTTGCTTTGATCAGAAGTATAATTATGTTCTTTTTGTTTCTCTGTATTGACTGATGTTTCTACCATGAATGAGCATTACCTGTATAATTTTTTTAAAGTATGATGTTTATTGCTTATGTTTCTATGATTCTACATGACATAGAGATTAGTGTCCTGTAGATATCTAACTTCAAGGTACAGGCGACAGAATTAGACCTTGGAAATAACTTTGAAGGGAATGTAAATCATTATTCCAATTCAGATTATGTTATCAAATTTTAGATATTGGAAAGAATTTTTTACCAGCGACTCATAGGCAATATAAGTAATAATGACAGGGAAGCAAAAATGGGGTCAGAAGAGACATTATTACCTGGAGGAACTGGTTTTTTCTCCTCATTGTCTCTCATTGCTCATTTTAAAACAGTGACAATTTTTCTTATGAAATGAGATCTGTGATGTTATGTAGTTGCGTTAACAAGAAAAGATAACTTTGAACGACACATCATTTGCACACAGATCATACAACTGCTCAGACAGCAGTGGCAGACAGAATGAAAGGTGGATCGGAAAAGGGAGGTGAGGGCTAGATCATCAGCATCTTTGAATGCTGTGTTGAGAAATATGGGCTCAATTCAAAACTTGTCCCTTTTTGTTCCCTCAGTGGGCACGGATTTTTTTTCAACCATAAAATGGTAAAATATATTCGATCTGTTGCTTAAACTTGAAGACTTATTTTGACCTTGAAACAGCTTATGAGATTTCTAAATCAATAATTATGATCCATAAAAACATTGCTTAAATAATTTGATTTATTTAGTGCCCCACAGAATGTTGTGAACTGGTTGTGTTAGATTTCTATAGCACCTCCATTTGATTAGTGTAGTTGATTAATCTAGTTTTTAAAGGCACCTGCTATATGCAAGGTACTTTGTTAGGCTTTGGCAGATACAGCATTTAAAGAGATTTCTGTTCTCAGTGTACAGTTTACTTAAAAGAGCCACAGCCCTGCAATAAAGAGCTTGATGTGAGACATGTTATGAAACAGGAACGAGGAACCCAGATGAGGAGCAGACCCTGACACCAGGGTGTAAGAACAGGGAGTTTTCTTTGGAAGGTGTAGGAAGGTAAGATGCACCAACGAGCAGGCATCGCTGTGGGCAGCGGGAGTCCAGCCCTAAGGAAAACAGGAACGTGGCATGGACACAACGTCAGAGTCACTGCGTTCAAGGAGCAATGGAGCTGAGGTGTTTATGGACTAATGTTATAGAGCGAAAGTTGTGTCCCCCTCAAATTCCTATGCTGAAGTGTTAACCCCCCAACATGAAGGTGTTGGGAGACAGGGCCTTTGGGAGACAATTGGGTTTAGATGAGGTCACGAGGGTGAGACGCCAAGGAGCATCCTCTCCCCTCCAGGAAGGGAGCGCGGCTGGAAGACTGGAGTGTGGTCTGCAGCCAGAAAAGCCTCCCCGGGGGCAGAAGCAGCCCGCACATTAGTTTCGGGCTTCCTAACCTCCAAAACTACGAGAAGTAAATTTCTGTGGTCTAAACCACCCAGTCTGTGATGTTTGATTATGGCAACCAGAGCAGACTGAAAGGACCAACTTCTATCCGTCTTGCAGTAAGACCTTCCCAACACCCTGGCCTGCCCACATGTGGACAGAGCCGCTTTCTCCAGGTTTGGAGGAGGTTCTCCACCAAAGCCATGCCACTCCTAGCAGGTGGAAGCCCACCTGTAAGCACTAAAGGTAAACCTGGAGCCGTACGGGTGAGAATTACCAGCACCTTCGAGTAGGTTAACTCTGAGCAGGGAGGGAGGTGGAAGTCCTGATACTTCACAGAGGGTGTGGTGCTTCACCTGAGCCTTCGCGAGGTAAGAAGTTAACAGATACAGGCAGGGAAAAACCATTCCAAACTCAGGGAAGGACTGGAGCACAGACCCAGAGATGACAAACACATTTGGTACAATCTGATCTTATTTGTTCTCCCTGTTGACATTATTTAGTTCCCATTTGTAGGAGTGGAGGCGGAGCGGGTCGGTACCAAATTACTTTATTTGAAAGAATGATATGAAAGAAATAATTTAAGTAAATGTTTTGGTACAATTTATAGAAAAGGTAAAGACAACCCCAACATACATGCACTGCCTTAATAACCAGGGGAGCCCCCCGCTGGGCTCTGGG